GCTCCGCCGCCGAGCGGCCCCGCGCCGCGCCGCCCGCGCCCCGCAGCACGGCTGCCGTGGCCCGCTTGCGGGTCAGCGAGTTGTGGCGCGCCATGGGGGGCGGCGGGGGCGCCAGGCTCTCGCTGGAGGAGTGCACGGGCTCGGTGCTGATGACGTCGTTGGAGGACTTGACGGTGACGGAGGCACAGAAGGACACCTTGTCGCGGCGGGGCGGCGGCCGCGCCTGCGCCTCCTGGTCGGACGACACGCCAGACGACGAGTTGTCGCCGTCGTCGCGCTCCACGCCCAGCTCGTCGCCGCATGACTTCGATGACTTCAAGCGAGTCCGGATCTTCTGGATCTCGTCTACAGAGAACGAATGTTGCATCGAACTTGAACCCGAGCTACTGCCACTGGAAAAATAAACAATTTAATTTTATCATTTGTTTTAAAAACTAGCCACCAACATAATATCTCACAAAATCATTCTTGCTTTCCAAAGAGTTTTTCAAAAAATGTCACAAAAATATTAATTCCACATTAAAATGATCACCGCCAATATTATTAAAAAGAATATAAATGAAAAAGACACATTATAACGCCTTTTAAATAAATAAAATACATATTTGTAACATGACAATGATTTATAAGTTAATCACTTTGAACCTCGTGAAAAATGTTTTCTATTTTTCTACATATTGAGTGCAATGTGTTTATAAACTCTTCCTTTTTATGTATGCCCAACCGCCTTTCACCAGATGGTAAACTTCCATAAAATACTTAATAAACGAATTATAACTTCGTTATCGTGTATCTTTTAGCAAAACAATGGACAAAATGAAGATGATTTCCTTCATGAAACAAATAAACGGTTGTGATTTAGTGTTGAGACAAATGCAATTCGTGAAAGTGACCGTACAAACACATAAGCGCTTTCCCAGCGACATGTAATTCATGTACAATTGAAACTATACCTTATGCGATAAGAATCAAAGTTCAAAATTAACTATTTATTCGGCATCATGCTCATATATCGTTGCGTATATTGGTATCCTGAAAATGTTAAGTTTTATTAGGACGTTGCATTCTTCTGGTGCATTTTTTTACTTGTGCAATATTGGATTAAAAATATAGTTAAAGATACAGGTATGTAGTTTCAATGAGCATACGAGATATTTATAACAATAAAACCATTTCATGAACTAAAACATAACAGAGAAACCGATCGACTCTGAACTGGCACCACCAATAATTGCCCAACCATTTGACCAGATCCACGTCATAAAAGCCAAGTAAAAGTCAATCTTATTGCTAAGCGATATAAGACTTACCTGGCATTGCTATTGGCGCTGGTCTCGGCGACCGCGGCGGGTTCGCCTTTGGGCTTGGAATCCACTTCGTCGTCAGATTCTGACATACTATAGTCCGGCTCGGGGATTGGCGGTGCTGGTGTAGAGTTCTGGAAAATATAGACGTTACGTATTAAATTCAATGCTATCATGGATTTATTTGTCTAGAATCAGTTTTGCGCAAATTGATAAAGATAAACTAGCTTCTGCCAGAGGATTAGTCGAAATTGTAAGATCGGGAGGAAATTTAGAGACCGTGGAGCTACAGAGTTGACGGTGTAGGTAAATCTTCGTCTATACTGAAACTATTATAACTATACTACGATATAGTTCTTGCATGATTTAAAACAAAATAACGAGTACCTGTCTGACAAAGCCCTTATGGGTGTTGAAGGGCTGTGCGTACTGGTTGCCGGTTTCGTCAGCCGATTGGGGCCGGTTAGGGCCTGCCCAAGACCGTAACGATGTCGCTTTACGACCCTGGAAATACAAATAGTAAAATGTAAGATTAACTCAAAGATTACATGTTTAACTCATCGAGTACCGGTTTTGTAGACACAATTATAGAACAATAGGTTGCGGTCACCGGTGACCGCTTGGTGTTTGACAGTTTAAGGTAAGGATCAGATTTATAAACCAAAATGAACTAACAATTGTCATATTATATTGTCTTTTTGTTGTCTTGTCATATATTGTCTACAGGCGATTTTTAGATCGCTAACGGGTAGAAAACACCGAATAAACAATTGCCAAAATGAAATATGCGAGCGATTTAGTGTCCTCTATAGTAGTACTTTTTAAATATCCACAACTAATAAAATAACTATATAATTGGAGGATAATTTCAACAACAATATACAATAAAAATATAATATGAAATGCGGTAGACACTAACGTTGTGCGTGTTATCGGTGGCTGTAGGTCGATAGGCGACGGTGTCTAGGTCTCGCGGCGAGGCGTACAGCTTGGCTTGGTCGGCCGGCCGGAATGTGGAGGCGGGCGCTGCCCCGGTTATTGGCGGCGGGGGTGGTGGACACGCTGGCGGGGGGACTCGTCCTGGACCTGGAAATGGAAAGCAACAGTTTTTATACAAATATAGAGAAATGTTTTGTCAATTTTTATCTTTGGAGTGGATCCCTTGGACCCCTTTCGCACATTATCTAAGCGTTGTCCTTGCAGAAGGTTATAGTTAATGTACATCTTAGTACCCATAAATAGCTTACCATGCACATCTTCGCTGGATCGAGTTCTTGGTGGGTGC